GACGGTGACTCTGAACAGGAACATGGACACAGACATCCCCACCATCATGCAGATCAGGATGAAATGGCGAGGGTTGCCGTAGATTTTCTTGCCTTGCTGTACAAATAAGGACATGTCAAATAATTCCACTGGCAAGAACTGGAGAGAAAATTCAAATTAATATGTAAGGCTGTGATACATCTGAGACTTTAGCAAAAACCTGTGGTGCAAATCAATATCAATAATAAATACACTACAGGAAAGGGAAAACTCCAAAAAGCATAATAGGTCCTCTTTAAAATGCAAAAAATGACTAAAACAAAACTCACTTTGGCCACGGCCTTGTCAGAGATGTACCCTGCTGCCAGACTTCCCAGCAGGCCTCCGACCTCCAGGGCGCTCATGTATGAGCTGCCTATGAAGAAGAAAAGAGTGACTCACAAGAAATAATAAAATAGAAACCTCTCAACATACAGAAATTATAATCTCTTCCATACCCATGAGTGTCGACTGGCCCTTGTCCTGGATGAGGAACAGCTGTCCCCAGTCGGTGCAGGCCGTCTTCACCCCGAACACCACCAGGTAGGACACGGACAGCAGCCACAGGTAGGGCGACAGCAGGAACTCAGACAGCGTGCTCTCATCACTGGAGGATCCTGAACAAGAGGAGTGTTATTATAGCAAGGTGGGCTCTCTGTTTTATCAGTATAGTGGCTAAACAAAAATAAATAAAACAAAAAAGTTAACTAAAGGAATCGAACTGCCATTGAGGCTTAAAAGTAAAACCACCTTGTTCCAGATTCTGTAACAACAATTAATGGTCGATAACATTAAAAAGCAGAACTAAAATCAAGAAAAACTGCACCCACTTACTTCCTATTATCTATTTCACTAAAGAAGAACTTTTCTACTGTTCCATGAAGATCTAAGTCAAAGAAGAGGTGCCCCCACAAATAGAATCAAATTCTGTGGGAAACACTGTAAGGCATGTGTATGAGAAACAGCCAGTGATTGAAGAAGTACCATACTAGGTGACAATAGTTTCACCTTTTTAACAAAACAAAAATAAACTGGCTCTATAGTCACTTGCCCTTCAAAATGTAGTGGGGTAAGATTACAGTAGCATTAGATTAAGTACTTGATAAATTGTTCTTAAGTACAGTACTTAAGTAAATGTACTTTCGGTAACACTCGACACAGCTCACACAGATGACATGTGACGGGCACAGTGGGTACAGAGTCCAGAGAGACACCGACCTTTAGTCACAACAACACAAGAGGCAAAACACACTCACACATGCACAACACACAGCTGCATGTAAACCCAGTGTGTTTTAAAAGGCTAACCTGGTCACAGTGACAGACAATTACTGAGAGAACATTTGTAAATTAGGCCCTATTCTTCCTTTTGCTTTCCTTTAGTGTGTTGTATAGGTTTTTGTTCATGGACATGGTTTTCCGCGGGAGTTTCTCTCCCACACCCTCCCCCTCTGCGTGAAACGCCTCTATTTAACTCCTTTGTGTACTTCCAGAACATAGTGACATTACTAGGTAACACTCAAGCTCCTATTGGCTAGCGCTCCAACGCCATTGTACGTGATAGGCTAGGGGGCTAAGCAGAAGATTAATCACATCTTCAGAGCCGGCCAGCTAACCAATCAGAACAGACTGGGCTCTGGTTTCAGACAGAGGGTGAAAAGAGGTGCTGCAGCACAGGCAGTATGAGAAAAATAAAGAGCTTTTTGAACATTAAAGCATGGAGACATGTCACAGTAGAGGCACTTAATATAAATATGCACCTGAAAATGAGCATACTATGTCCTCTTTAAAGCGTTCATTAAAACTCAGTCTCACCTGCTTTGCTCTTCTTGGCTGCTGTCTCTATGTTGGGCAGCCCAACCTCGCTGGGCTCGTTCTTGATGAACAGCAGACAGAAAACAGAGGCCACCACACAAATCATCCCAGAGACGGACAGGATGGTCCTCCAGCTGTAGCTCTGCGTCAACACGGTGGCGATGATGGGGCCCAGGCTGCCGGCCAGATTCATGCTGCAGGAGAGGATCGCCCACCATGTCCCGAACTGAGAGGGCTCGAACCACTGACAAGAGGAGGGGAAAACGTTAAATAACGACCGGAAATCATAACAGAGGTGACAACAAGTGTCATTATCTTTGCCTGTCATATACAGGAGGGATCAAATAATTGAACCAGTTGTGACCTGATCTGAGTGACAGCTGATGTGAGAGGACACATGAAGAACACCATTTGTGGAGAAAGTCTGTAAAATGTATGATGTTCATATATTTTCTTGAATAAATAAGATTAAATCATATAAAATATTTTATAATAAATAAAATATTTAAAAAAAAATGATAATATAAAGATAATAAATAGGTTTTAAAATACACTATTTATTTATTGAATCACGAAAAAAGATGCTATATGGGAACGAAAATGGCCCGGTAGACAGAGAGCTTTGCCTTCTGGCTGAGCTCCCTTTTCGTCACAACGGTGCGGTAAAGCGACTGCAGAAAAAATCACATCTATAATAATATCATAATGTCAGTGTGTTGCTAGCAGTGACATTTTGTGGCTCAGGTACCTTGCGCAGCACCCTGCCGCAGGGGGGCCACCCGAGGCCCTGGCCCAGCCCGTTGAGGAACCACAGGGCGGAGAAGGCGGCGACGGTGGAGGACCAGGAGAAGACCACGTTGATGCATCCCACCGTGCACAGGCCGATGGAGAAGAGCCAGCGGGCGCTGATCTGGTCCGAAAGCACGCCACTGATGAACTTACTGATAGCATAGGCCAAAGACTGGCTGCTGGTGATCATGCCTGGAGGAAAAGAAGGCGGGAAAGGGGAGTTAAAACAGCCAGATACAACTGCAAGAAATGATGGTGCTACATTAGGGTGGTCCTTCGTGAGAGGTACATTTTTTTAAATTAATTTACTTTAAGCTCCAACCACCGGAATTCGTTATACTAGTCAAGAAAACTCTCCTGGTGAATTTTATTCAAATTCCAACAACATTTTTTCCTCAATCTGACAACATGTACCCCTCCCTCATCAACCTGGGCTGCCACACCAGCAGCCACGGTGCTGCAACTGAGGCTAAACTTCAAGGTTGATGAGGGAGGGGTAAATGTTGTCAGATTGAGGAAAAAAATCACCAGGAGAGTTTTCTTTACTAATAGAATGAAATCTGGGGGTTGGAGCTTGGACTTTCCGACTTTCAATTTTAAGGACCACCCTATGCTACATATATATTTTATTTTACAGGGACGACGCACATTAATAGCCACTTTTGTAAAGATTATCCAAGAGGCTATTTTTCATCTGTAGTCATTGGACATACAGTATGTTGTTTAGTCTGATATACCATTCTTCCTGTAAAGCTAATGTTTAATGTATGAATGAATGAATGTTACAAATGCATGAAGCATAGATGTCGTAATACAAATATAATGTGTGAAGAAAAGTCAATGTAACAGCATGTATTGAAGCAATTATACTTAAGATGATGACATTGTGGGGGTCAATAGTTCATCCAGCTTTGGAATTCGAAAACATTCTAGTTTAGAAAAAGCTACCAATGTTCAAATTGGCATTTATCTAATCAGATCAAAATATTGTATTAATCCCAGGGAAAGTTGCACCATATTATATGCTTACACGCTATATACACTCAAGTAAAATTAAAGTTTAAATGCTTTGCAATTTACTTACAATTTGTAAAGTTACTAGCTCCTTTGACACTTTTTGATATTTGCATACATCTTTAAATACTGTTAATAATTGGTTTGTGTGTACTTTTACCTATTTTTTTTATTGTTTGTATGACATATGCTTACCTTTTTGTTTAACATTTAAGTCTTCTCTTTTTCATTTAGCCTTTTTATCTGTAATGTACCTTTACTGCTGGACGAATAAAGGAATTCTGATTATGATTCAAATAAAAATAAATAAATATATAAAATATAAGAAGGTGAAGTAAAAATGTGCAATAAAAGTCCTGGATTAACGTGTGTTCTTGGAGTTTGCAGCATAGATAAGGTGAATTAATAGTTTTAAGAGTCTCATACCCAGGTCATCTTTGTCCAGCTCAATTTCCTGCATGACAGAAGGCATCACAAAGGAGAAAGTCTTTCTGTTGAAGTAGTACAGCGTGTATCCCACAAACATGGCCAGGAATATAGTGCCTCGGTAGTATCCATAACCTGCTGAAGCCATGGCTGCAGATTTAGACTGTAAAAATGTGGAAAACTGAGAAAATAGAGGCTAGAGAGAGGAGCAAGCTCCTGCCTGTGACAGTGAACTTTGCTTCTGGATCCGCTGGATAAAATCAGCTGCTCACAATCAGTCAGGGAGGTTAATGGTCAACTTCTCTGCCCCCAAAATGATTTAATCTGAGCTGTTACCATGTAGGCTACTGCAGGCCTTGGGGGATGGAAAAGAAAATCAATCTGTGTGTCACATCAACGCTGTGCATGATGTGTTGTTTTCTGTATTTATAAAAAGGGTCCCTCCACTTGAACAGCAACCTACGTGTTCTTTTCCTCTTTGGTTGTTTGTCCATCTGAGGCGGTTGTGGTAGGAGTCCTCACATTGAAGTGGTTAATGATTTATTGTGGAGTCCAATAGTTACAGCAGACCAGAGGGAGGCTCCTCTCCCAGTGAGGTTATGCGTGTTTAACAGCAGCAGACCTATCAGACACAAACAGTGTGCACAAAAAGAGACATTTATTGTGGGTTGTGGGAAAGTGCATGTGAGTAAGACATGAATACAACGCCAATTATTATGTCGAAGAACAACAAATCTCGGAAGAAAATAACGTCACTACGGTTGACGAAGGAACCGGAAGTAGTAAAATGCTAAATTACATCCGGGTTTCTTTTTTTCCTAGAATAAATGGCAACAATTTTATTCTTGTAAATTACAAAAAGTAAACGAATATTCAATATCATGTTTAAATATTTGCAATGTCTTTTTACATCTGGGTTTTAGGACTCTACTGACTGTTACGGACGATGACGTCACATGGTCCCGCCTACGTTTAGCTCTCCCGTTTGTTCCCATGGCAACAGACAACAAACATTTCCAAATGTCGCCTCGTTGTAATCGAGCAGCATATAAATCGTATTGTCAGTTTTGTACCAATTAGCTTCACTTTTTTCAGATTAGCTAACTTGATAACTCATTCTACGTTGCCACCAATAACCGAACACCATGGTAAGTTCCATTTATTTTACATTAGGTGCTAAATCTCTTCTTTATTTTATTTCCCTTCGTGTTTATTTATGGTTTTTGCACTTATATGTCGCCTTGTATAAAAGCGTCAGCTAAATGTACTGTAATTTACTGTAATGCAATCTCTTTATCTAATCATTTAGATAATAATACTTGTCCTATAGCCTATAATGTGTCTGTTTTTGTATCTTACCTATTTTAAACCTTTGTTTAAACTGATGAAATAAGAATTGTAGACCATTTAGTAGTTTGGGTTAGTGTAGTTTTTAGGTTTTTTGTGGTCCTGTGGTCTGTCTTTGGGGGGGGGGTAATGTTTCTGAATAATACATGAACCCTCTCAGTCTCAGTTTCAATGCTATGAAATGTATTTACTTTATGTTTATTGTCTGGGCCACTATTCTCAAACTTACTATAGCTTATTGTGGTGTCCCATTCCACATGTCTCCATTATTTCTTATGATTGTACTTGTATTTTTATTTAAATTTGTGAATAAATAAAATGATGATTAAAATGAGGTTACTCCCTGTAGAGACTGGGATCCAGCTCCACAAACTCCAGGAACAGCACCGACACCCGGCGGTATCGCACCCGGGCCCCCACCTCTCAGGTGGATGAATCCCTGTTTGCGAGCCCCAACCCGGTGAGTGAGTGTTGTCAATATTGCAACCACTCTAGAAAATAAAATTATGCTAGGTGAGTTTTTATTCATTTCTAAAGGTGTCATTATATTGCTATAGGCTGAGGATCCTCCTTACAATTAAAAGTCCTCAATGCAAAATGTAACTTTAGTAGAAGTATTATCAGCTAATTATACTTACAGCATCAAAAGTAAAAGTACTCGGTCGGTATGCACAATGACTCTTTTCCAAAGATGATATTTAAGATGGGATTCCATTTTATTGTCATTGGACATGTAGTTTGCCTCCAACCAGAGAGAGAAGTGCAGCTGCAGTATATTCACAGATATATTTCAGAGTTGCAGGTTGCAGTATATTCACATATCCGGGTTACAGTATTTAAGTTGTTGCATATGTAAGTGCAACAGTGCATCATATCATATCAGTATATCACAAGTTGTATATGTCAAAGGAATTATTAGTGTTAAATTAGTAAAACGTACAATATTAGCCTATGAAATGTGTATAAATACTATGTAGCATACAATCAAAATATCAAAAAAAGTAATGTACAATCAAAAAAGTATGGAGTAAATGTACTTAGTTACTTTTCAACACTGGCTATAACAGTACAATGTAGGTCTACCTAGATTTAATCTTTAGTTTTTTAGTGTAGTGTGTTATGAATGTGTTTGGTGAGATGTTGCTTACACCCTCTCTCCATATGTCATCACAGATAGACGTGAGGCGTGGAAACTCCTCCAAGTCTACAAAGAGTCCACCTCAGAAACACCAGGAAGGAGCGACGGTTCAAATTGTGACCAAAGACCTCATCCGCAACATCAGGTACACACACACACACAACACACACACACACACAACACACACACACACACACACACACACACACACACACACAACACACACACACACACACACACACACACAGACACACACACACACACACACACACACACACACACACACACACACACACACACACACACACACACACACACACACACACACACACACACACACACTCTACAAAGAATGGAGTCGGTGGAATATTTAGATTTTACTTGAAGTACCAAAAGTAAAAGTACTGGTTGGTTACACAACCACAGTTTAAATACACAAATTATTGATGTTAAGTATCCTGATAAATAAGAGGTATAGAAGAGATAAAAAGCATAATTATTATATGCATTCTTGTAATGCCAAATGTTCCAGGATCCCATTCAAGGACCCTTCAGGAGAATCCGTCATTTTACCATTGGCTGATTTTAAGCGGATCACCTCAGAGTCCCTGGTCCTGACCAAGGAGGAGCGGGCGGCCCTGAAGGAGGCGCACCAGAAGAAAAAAGATGAGGACATTGTAGGAAAACATAAAAAACGTACATTTAAATATCCCTTAATAAGACAATAAGTATTTTCTCTTAAACATACCTTTTGATCCAGAGAAATGCGGAGGACAGGAAGCGTCAGATCTTTGAAGCGGACCTGTCCCGGCAGGAGAACCAGGCGCTGACGGAGCTGGAGCTGGAGGCCCGCGACCGAGCGCAGCACCTGGTGAAGAGAGCCAACAACCTGAGGATGGAGCAGGAGGACGAGATCCGGAAACTCAACAAGGTGGGGAACAGCTGCTCACATCTGGACCGCACATGTTTAACAATGTTGCCTATCTACTGTATAAGAGAAAGGTCAATTATTTTTGGTATTTCTCTAAATAAGAAACCCTCCTACCCTCATGAGTCCGTGCACGTGATTTTATAATAAGGTCCAAAATCAGCCTGCTGGGGGGGATCGCAGATCTTTGAAGAATAATGCATAAGTACCAGGTTAAAAGTTCCAATGAAGTGTGTGTGTGTGTGTGTGTGTGTGTGTGTGTGTGTGTGTGTGTGTGTGTGTGTGTGTGTCTGTGTGTGTGTGTGTGTCTGTGTGGCCCTCAGCTGATCTTGGGTGCTCAGTGTCAGGCCACTCGTGACGTGCAGATGGAGGAGAAGAAGCAGATCCAGAGCGAGCTGACGGAGGAGGAGCAGCGCCTGGACGCCATGATGGAGGTGGACCGCCGCCGGGCCCTGGACACCGTGGATCAGATCGACAAGCTGCGCAAACAGAAGAGGATCGAGTGAGGAGACACTACTGCAAAACACACACACACACACACATATAATAATTCATGCAGAGGTGGACAAAGTATTCAGACTTTTTACTTCAGTACAAGTGGAAAATGTTAAAGTACTCTAATACAACTAAAAGTCCTGATTTAAAAACCATACTGAAGTAAAACAAGTTTTGGCATCACAATATACTTATATATAGTATAAAGTAAAAGTACTGGTTATGTGTATTAGCCCAGTCTCCAAATCACCACGTTTGGATTGTTCACTGCACAGGACGGGTATTAAATTGTGTTCTCTATAAAGCTGTAATTTTGTGGAGTAAAAAGTACAAGTTTGTCTAACCCTAACTTTTGTTATGTGTGTGTGTGTGTGTGTGTGTGTGTTTGTGTGTGTGTGTGTGTGTGTGTTGTGTCCAGGGGGATGCAGAAGATCACAGAGCAGATCCAAAGACAACATGAGGAGAAGCAGCTGCAGGACGAGGTGAAGGAGCTGGAGAAGCAGCAGGCCCGAGAGAAGCAGGAGAAAATTATCCTGGAAGACCTGGAGGTGACCAGTGACCTCACTCAGACCCTGCAGAGACATACCAGTCTAATACTAGTACTATACCAGTACTAGTACTTTGGAGTAGGCTCATCCAGAAACCTGAAAAGGCCTCCTTCACTCTCTTCTTAACATCTTAGCTCCGTCCTCATACAACCGTTATGTAATTCCAGATATGAAATTGTCATAACTTAAATCTAATCTTTTGTAAAAGAAAAAAAAAAAAAAAAAAATCAATATTAAAGGTAAGAATGGAGAAACCAGCTCGAGTGGGCTAGAATTTGAAAATACACAGCCGAAGAAAATCTGCCACTTCCTTCAGACTTCCTTACAGAGCCCCTCCTCCAACACACACGAACGCGCACATGACCAATGAGGGCACGAGATAAGTTTGTGCACAGGTGGAAGGCTGACAGGCAGGTAGGCCATCCAGTTATTTTAGCCGAGCCGGCTCAGATGATTGGTCGTGCTTTTTACAGCGCCACGGCTTCCACAGATTAAATGTTTTTGTATTTATTGTCAAAGCATTTAATATTCCATGGAATATAACAAAAAGTGTTTCTGAAGTGAATTACCTACCCCACCTTTAATAGCCATAAATATAATAATAATAACAACAATAATTATAATACTATAATAATCTGTATGGATCTTATATTATGTTATCAGAGTTTTTGCTTTTGTTTTGGTTGTTGGAGGTTCTTCCGCAGAAGAAAAGCACATGTAATTCATGTGAAATTCAAGCACATTATTAAACATTTCATAACTTTGATCAGCCGCAGTATACGGTAGGGCTGTGCGATTATGGCAAAAATCATAATCACGATTATTTTGGTCAATAATTGATATATTATTAAATACGATTATTCATTGACTTTGAAAACATCCATTTATTGAACTTTAAAACAAATACAAATAACAATTTGAACAGTGTCTTTTTAACTGTTGATTACCCTGAACGTATAATTCAACTGAAAAACCAATAGAAAAATAAATTAAATAAATGATACATTTATATTTACATTTAAATAAATAATAATCAAAAATAATAAATACCAATAAACAAGATCAACACATTTTTTGGAGCGCACTTCAACAAGCTACTAAATATGATAAATAAAAATAAATTAGACTAAAATAAATTAGATCAAATATGTCACAACCTAGCAAAGCAAAATAATCCGTTTTTTCGATTACGTTGTGTTCGTAATTGCGGCAGGCCAAAATCGTAACTGCGATTAAAATACGATTACTTGCACAGCCCTATAGGCTATACGGCTCTCCTCTCTCCTCCGGGTGAATTTGAGCAATCCTCGACCACGCGATGTGACCCTAACCCTAACCCTAACCCTGTTTCCTCTCTCTGACTGGTTTTCCTCTTCCTCCTCCAGGCTCTGGAGAAGAAGAGGAAGAATCAGGAGTGCCTGCAGGAGGAGATCATGCGCATCAACGCAGAGACCATGCAGGCCAAGGAGAGGAGGCTGGAGGAGGAGAGACAGGCCGACAGGAGGGACATGGAGTACTTGAAAAACAAAATGGTCAGAAAACAAGCAGCTCTAAAAAAAAAAACAGAATCACTTTGTAACAGTGGTACAAATAATAACTCAAACATCTGTGATTTATTATCTTTGAAATATAGTTTTGTGTTTCCATATTTGATCCATATGTCATGACCTCTGCAGGAGCGGGCTTCAGAGTATGAAGCAGAGCAGAAACGCTTGAAGAAGGAGAAGGAGCTGGAGATTGCCCGGCTGAGGGCCCGACAGGAAAAGGCAAAAGACTACAAAGCAGAGCAGGTCAGAAAAAAAATACCAGCTGAACTATTTAGTATAACAATGGTGTCCTCTGCTCAGATATTATATTATAAAAAACCTGCCCTTCAGTAAGCATATTCAGCCCCACAGAAAATGTTTGAAATGTACTCTGATTATTTGATGTAGGCCTAACTGAAAGGGAATACATTTACCTTTATTTTTCTGTATCCAGTTATACGGTTACATGTAATCCATTCCTCCTCCGGGCTGACCGTTGATAATGTTTTGAGTGTGACAGGATGAGCTGCGTGCTCGGAGGAACCAGGAGTTTAAAGACAGAGACTGGAGGAGTAAGCAGAGGGAGCTCGCTGTGAAGAAGGCGCAGGAGGAGGAGATGCTGATGGCGGCGCGCACCGACCAGGTTCGCTGCAAAGAGCACTTCCTGTCCATCGAGGCCGGCCGTGAGAAGGCAGAGTTTGAGAGGGTGCTGAGGTTAGAAGCTGCACTTAAACGTTTTTTCACATCGTCATCCCTTTAAGTTGTGGTGGAATAAGTGGCAGGAAAAGAAAAATACTTGAGTATATAAGTAGCTCACATTTGTAGGCCTACTTAAGTGCAGATTCCACCACTGCATTTATCCACACATTCAGCTCCATCTTAATTACACATCACTGCCACTCTCTCCACACAGCGTGCAGCAGCAAGCCATCGTCAAACTGAAGGAGGAAGAGGAGAAGCGGCGTCAGAAATCAAGCCGCCACGCAGAGGCCATCAGGACCCAGGTGAAGGAGCAAGAGCTGTCGGCCGTTGCCAAGCGCAGAGAGCTCTTCAAGGAGGGCGAGCGGCTGATGGAGGAAGACCGGCAGAGACGCGTCCGCCTCGAGGAGATCAAGGAGAAGAAGCTCCAGGAGCTCAAGTCAGTACAGAGGCTCTAGTCTGCTTTTTTGGGGTTTTCCCTTTGCTGTAGTTCTATAGGTTTTTGTGCATGTAGTTAGGCCTTGAGGCCAGGCTCACTTTATGCTGCGTTTCCATTACAGTTTAGTAGCTGGGGCAGTAACTATAGCAGTGGTTCTCAAACTTTTTCTGTCAGGCCCCCCCTTTAGAGGAGAAATATAAAAGTCGGGCCCCCCAACACAAATAGTCACGTAATGGGCCAAGTTAACATTTATTAAAAATACATCAATATGAACATGAGCATTCCTTTCAAAAAATAAAAAAATCACTTTGCTAACAGTGATAATAAAACAATGCTCCATAAGTCTGTGTGCTCAAAAATAATAATACATAATACAATTGTGCAATCCCTTTGCTAGAACAATAAGTTATAATACTTTGCAATCTGTGCAAACAAATGAAAAGAAAGAAAATGCTGATATTTGGCAAAAAAGCGTGTCTTATGGCTGCAATGAGCCTGTTTTGCACTGCACATTTTGGGGGTGCTGTGGGGTAGCTTGACGTTTCATAGAGGGTGCTCAAACATTTAGGGTTTCCCATTAATGTACCGGGCGCTACAGTGGCATTTTCTACTGCAACAATCCCCAATGTACCCGCGACAGTTACAATGAAGGCTCGATAATCAGCTCACGGCATATAGGTGTAAGCAGGGGTAAAGTGCTATTTTTTTTACAAGTGGGGAGTGGACCTCACATAGGGGGGTCTGGGGGCAAGTTCCCCCGGGAAGATTTTTTGTTTTAATATTGAAGTTAAAAGCATCAATCTGGTGCACTTTGAGAGCAAAATGAAGAGATCTATGGATACCTCTCTCAACACCCATTTGAAACAGAACTGTATGATTTACTTTTTCTTTATGGATATTTTACAAATCACTCCCCTTTTAAACTTTATTCTTTTTTTACTGTCATACAGTATTTCATTTATTCTCTTTGTATAACTATAATGATCATATAAACGTGTGCCTCGGAAATAATTGTTTACATTAATCGTGACCAAAACGTTTGAGACCCGGCCACTAGCTCGCTAGCACCAGAAAGCTAACAACAACGATCTCCGGTACCGGTGCTCTCGCTCTCTCTCGCGCACACACAAAATGGCTCGTTCCTCACACACACAGAGCTGAGCTTGAATGAAACAGAGACGCACGCTTAAACCGCGCTGTAGTGGAAATGCGCCATTATACCCCAATGATTAAAATAAGGGCTATATTTAGCTGATTTACAGACATCTCTTTCCCAATGTAATTCAATAGGAAAAAGTATTTTTGGGCCAAATTGACGTCACAGACTAGAGCGTACGTGTAGTGGCCCGGCACTCTTCCATTGGACTCCTTTACTGTTTACTTACAGAACATAGTGACACCACTATGTAACACTTGCGCTTCTTTTGACTAGCGCTCCAACACAGTGTACGTGATAGGCAGGGGGCAGGACATCTCTCAGCAGTTGACCAATCACAACAGTGCCGGCCAGCTAACCAATCAGAGCAGGCTGGGCTCTGGTTTCAGACAGAGGGTGAACAGAGGTGCTGCAGCTCAGGCAGTATGAGAAAAATAAAGAGCTTTTTGAACATTAAAGCATGAAGAGATGTCCCAGTAGAGACACTACATACTAATATGGACCTGAACATTTGAATATGTCCTCTTCAAACTAACTTGTGCCTTCTCTTTGCTGCTGCTACTTTTATCTATTTGAGGGAAGCGTACATTACCTGAAAATATATTCTGATTCTTAAGGCTGATATTTTGACTGTCTTTAACTGAATGAACCTGGTGTGTGTGTGTGTGTGTTGCTCTGCAGGGCTACAGGGCTGTCTGATAAGTACTGCAGCGATGTGGAGAGGAAGGCCCGGGCCTGCGCACTCTGATTCGAAGACATCTCATTTACCCAACATGAACACTCACTAATGTAACTTGAAAATCAATAAGAATTAAAATGTTTGCACTTTAGAAGCTTCTGACCAGTGATTTGTAGACATTTCTATTTCCTGTCAGACAGACAGACTCCGCAGGACACCGGGTACAACTTTTTGTTTTTATTTCGGCTAGTATTTCCCTTTCAGTTGAGTCATATTCTTCCACTTATCAATGACAGATCCCCTTTTTTATTAATATGCATGACAACAGAAAGGAATTCAACTTATGTCAGGATTAGGATGACACTTTACACACACACATACACACAGCTTAAAGCATGTAAGGAAGTTAAAGTACATCAAGGTAAATACAGGCTCTTATTTCACAGCGTTCCTGACGGAGAACAGGAAGTAGTGAGACCTAATCTCTTTTCTTCTGAACCATCTAAACACACGACCTACAGGAGTGTTCATGGATGTAGCTGTCAGCGGGACACACTGCCGCCTACTGCCTCCTGGTGGTCTTGCATTAACGGAGGAGGAGGGCAGGACAGAAGTGCGGGTGGAGGACAGATGGGTGGGGGTGTCCATCGAAAAGTTTTCACATCTGTACACGCAGAAAAAAGGGGGAGTGGTGACCGAAGGGGGGAAACACTACAACACCTGGCGTACACGGACCTCAGCAGGAGGAGGCTCCGGGTAAATACACACACACACACACACACACACACACACACGGTACGGTTGGGGGGTTCGGTCGCCGTGGTCCCGTCACATACACAGATACAGTCTCACACAAGCACTGTACACGGCACAAGAGGTCACCTAAATACAGGGAACCAACGAAGGAATGCTAACATCTAGGCGGGGGGGGGGTTACCCATACAGGCTGAGAGGGGTTAAAATTCTTATTTAGACCCATCAGGTCACACTCTTGCTCACACACACACACATCCACACGGTGACATACGTCTGTATGCATTTAAAACTCCATAAAGCTACACGCCTGTGCAGAATATACTATCATTACTTAGTGTTGCTAGCTATAGCCGACGAAACGGCAATATATGTTCAAATATTATATGTAACCTTCTTTCCTCAGAATATACAATGATGATGCATTATACAGACAGACGAGACGATGGAAGCCGAAGCATGTTCGGTACGTCAGAGCAAGAGCTTCTCTACATTAATTTCTTCACGAGTGCAAAATCCAATGCTCCTCCACCTACTTCAAAAGGTTTGTTGCTGAGCTTTAGCAAGTCCACGTCTGCACAAACCATAAAACAATACAAAAAACAACAACATGACAATAACATAAAACACAAAAAATATTCTAAATAAGTAGTCATAAATATGGAATGTGAAAAAAAAAAAACACGTGGTCCAATTTCTTTTCAAACAATACAAATAAAAGTCCTTCAGTTAAATGTTTTCTCGCAACGACAGAATAATAAAAAAAGAGTCAGAATCAGAGTGGGCTGCTTGCTGTGGCCCCTGCTGTGAGTAGAGGACCATGGGAAGCTGGTGAGGAACACAGAGAGGGGGGGACGACAGATGAGGGGGGTGTTGGTGGTGGGGGAGTTGTTGGGTGTTCACATGCCGTAGCCGAAGCCGGGCTGCTGTGGTGGCTGGCCGTATCCGGGCGCTGCTGGGTAACCGTAACCGTACGGCTGCTGTGGGGGAACGGCCACGTTGGGCCCTGCCGTGAGCATGAGCTGAGGGGAGCCTGCAACACAGAACAGAGGGGTTAGAACTGTCCAATAATAATAATAATTCATTACATTTTCTCAAAGCGCTTTACATCACATATTAGACATGTAACAGCTTTTAATGTGGACAACACCCACAGGAGAAAATTAGGGTGAAGTGTCTTGCCCAAGGACACAGCGGCCTGAGGCAGGTTTTGACCCCAACGTCCCTTGATCTGATGATCAACGCTCTAGCCCACTCGAGTGCGCTAGAATTTGAAAATACACAGCTGGAAAAAATCTGCTACTTCCTTACAGAGCCCCTCCTCCAACACACACGAACATGACCAATGAGGGCATGAGATAAGTTTGTGCACAGATGGAAGGCTGACAGGCAGGTAGGCCATCCAGTTACTTTAGCCGGGCCGGCTCAGATGATTGGCCGTGCTTTTTACAGCGCCACGGCTTCCACAGATGAACATTTTTGTATGTATTTGTTGTCAAATCACTTAAGATATTCATTGCTATCGGGATGTTAAGAGCATTCCATGGAATATAACAAAAAGTGTATCTCGAGCCGGTTTCTCAAACTTACCTACCCCACCTTTAAGTTTGATTTTTTTTGCTTGTTTATATAAATATCTTGATTTTATTTCTTCTTTTTATGCACAATCTTAATGACTCTTTATTTATTAAAACAATTGAGCAACGAAACCCAATTAACCCCAGGTTAAATAAAGTATTACAAATAAATATGTAGTATTTTATTTTGTTTTATCTTTATCTGACATTTTACAGATGTCTATATAAATATCTTTATATTCCAACGTTAACTTCTTATGTTCATACAATTATTTTATACTATTTGTGACATTTATTTTTTTAAATGGAGCAGCTATCACAAAAAACAATTAACCCCAGGATAAATAAAAGTATTCTGATGTATAAATAGTTAAAATAAGTATAAATAAGTATTCCGATTAAAAACCTGCACATTCCTCCTAATTTAAGATAAAATAGGTGCACGTTTCTTCTGGAGCAACCACAACAAAGATCTGTGAGGATGATATTTACCGTAAACGATGGGTTGGGACTCGGTGTTCTGCTCCTCCTGTTTCCTCAGGGACTCGGAGGCTTCCAGTTTGTCGACCTGTTGAAACACAACGAGCCGGCGTCAGACTGCAGCGTCACCGCGGTAACGGCGCTGAGGCGACGGCTTGTAAAGAAACTGACCTCTGTGTTATTTCACTGGCTGACGGATGGGACCAGGCGCAGACGAATACAGTCCAGATTTAAATAAAAAGAGAGCTGCAGGAGGCACGCCCCGTAACATGTTGTAACTACAGCTAGAGAGCTACAGGCTACGCTATAAATCACATCCACCTCTTTGTGTTAAGGGTAAAGGAGACGAACACTAACAGCTACTACTGGGTTATTATGGTCCCACCATCCAGCCACCCATCTACTCAGTATGTAGAGAACAGACCCCCAACCAGCACAACCACTGACAAGAGAAATAGATGTTTTCACCTGTTTATTGCAGTTTATCTGAATAGAGTGCCGCAGTGACGCGTCCTAAAACCCGGAAGTAAACTCCTTCCGGTTCCTTCGACAAAAACCAATGCAATTTCTCCATAGGATTTTGGAAAATAGCTCGAAATAAGGTCTGTGGTTGACACACATTTAAGAGACGGATCACGTTTTGTTCAGCCGAATAATCTCCACATGTCTATGCTACTTTTATAATTTTCGAAGCATAAATCTAGTCGCCAGAAGCAAAATGCTAACGTTATGCTATAAACGAACTACAGCAGGGTCGCTGCTTCAACGTCACGCCAACTTAAGATCCATATTCAAAAATACAGATTCAAAATGGAAGTTGAAGCGTTTGAACAGTTTGCAGGAGGCAGGTACTTGCTTTCAAGCAGAACAGGGCAAACAAACTTAGCGGGGGTGTTTACGTGTTCGGTGTAATGACGTACAACGGCTTCGACAACTTCTGTAGTCCTATTCAGCCACTTGTTAACAACCATCGTTTTTCAGACACGTAAACTCTTCAAAAATCACCAGTGGGGTCACTGCTGGTGTATTTAATGTCGTAGAACAAAACGTGATCCGTCTCTTAAATGTGTCTCAACCACAGACCTTAGTTCCAGCTAACCCTATAGAGAAATTGTATTGCTTTTTAGCGAAGGAACCGGAAGGGGTCAAATGCTAACTTATTTCCGGGTTATAGGATGAGTCACTGCGGCACTGTATATTGTTGCATTTAAGAGAGGTTCTTCTGTCAGTAATACATCTAAAACAATGTCAGCTTTACATATAAACAGATTCTCTAAGACTGAGCTCTAAAGACGCGAATACAAAAGAAACGTTAAGTAAAACTGAGATATGCTTAATGCAGGCTTAGGGAGTAATGGATTACATGTAACGGGTATCAAGGATACAATAAAAGTATTTCCTTACAGTTACTTAAAAAGGAGATTACTAGCAGGATTAAAAATGTTACAATACATTCAATATAAAGATGAGTTTATATCACAGGTAGACGTACTGCCTGAATGTTGTTTTTGTTTTCATTTACTTTCATTATTTTTATTAAAATGCAGAAGGCGGACTCCTGACTTCTTAAACAATAATACTGTTTGCTTAGCTTTTGTAAACTATAAAACGGTATATTTAATTAAGGACACATTTTGATCCTAACTCTTAAAAAACTAACCTTATTGTGCTTTGTCGATTGATTTTACAAATATTCGTATGCGCTTCTGAAATTTGAAGTCATTGTAAAATAAATCCTACAGAGGAAGGTGATTTTACTCGTCCATAACTTTACTAATTTTTTTTTTTTTTTTTTTTAAATGGGTCATTTATTTATTGAACCTTGTTTTGCCTTTAGGGGAAATTATCAAATATTGCAAGAAAAACAAATTGTTTTATTTTTACAGGCGTGTGTTTGTGACTTTTAACATTTAGGGAGGCATGCTTCAGCCCACTTCAATAAATAAGAAATATCAAAAAACCCACAAGAAGCATGCAGAGAACTCATTTAATGTTTTTGTGCTTTAGTAGAAGCAAAGCAGCTCAGAGGCAGACGATGCTGGGAAGAGTTAGAGCTAAACAAAAATAAGACAGCTCAGATCTGACCCTGAGCTGAGACAGAGCGCAGGTTCAACTCTGATAAAAGGTGGTTCTGGGATCAGTTCTCTACACACGCTCTGGGTTCTACTCAACAGTCAGTCACTCTGGTACTGCAGGCTCTTCTGAGAGAACACGGGCTCTGCTTTGGTTTCAGAGGAGGGTTGAGACACATGCTGAAGCGGCAGTTGAGTTACTTTCATCTTGAAGAGTGCATGAGAGAGAAAGACAGAGAAGGACAGTGGGGGGAGGGGGGTGAGACAGG